CGCTTAAGTTTCGTCGGAACGAAGTTACGGAAAATCAATTAACAAACGGAGACGTAACAATATTGTTGAGTCGAGCACGTGAGACGTTCTTTGTGAATTATAGCGTTTGTTATAGCGCGATTGTGGAAATTAAGTGTATTGCAAAGTTGTATTTAGAAAGAATAAACCAGTTTTCTTTAAGAAAGGACTTGTATCGCTAAAGTTTCTTCCGGAAAATTAACTAACGAACGGAGGTGTAACAATACCATTGTTTTTAACAACATTTGTTAATGATAGTGTTTTAAATGCTTTCATTCTATCTACATAACTATAGTCATATGCAGTCTTGAGACTTCTGTGTGCAGATTAATAATGTAGAAAAGAATATTTCTTTAATATTCTAGAATGGAAGAAATGGTCAAAAAGATGCTTCAGTTCCAGACACGTATTGACCAGTTAAGACATGAAAAATTATCACTTGCCTTAGCTTATGAGGTAAGCTTTAACAAACAAAAACACAATTCTCAGTTGAAATTTATCAATGGTGCAAAACTATTTTTTAAGTATTTTTTTTTATATTAGGGAAGAAAATATTCATTTAGCAAAGCATACTGTAACAGTTATCAACAATACCAAAATCTGAAATATTGCAAAGAATTCATTAAAAATTATTTTAAGAGAAAGAGGAATATATGTTCTGTATCTTAGCTTACCCAGTGGTTCAAGGTAAGCTTGAGGGCTTATAATGCTAAAATTGGGGATTTGCTTCCTGCAGTGGACACAATGCAGTGCAGCTAACCCATTTTGCAGCTTTGTGCTTAAAACAAACTAGTCATGTATTAGTATCCCTAACTTCTAAATACCATACATAATTTTGTTATTACAAGAAAAAATTAATAAAACAAATATATATTGTTCACTGAAGAGCACAGCATGCACACATGTAGCTATCTAACAGTTTTTGTTTTCCTTAAAAGTTAATATCAGGATGGATTATTGTTTTGCAACACATCCAAAACTTAAACTCTTTCAGACAAGTCCTGCATCTCTTTTTCTAGGCAGAAGCAATTTAACAGTTGCAGTCAAGTGTATGATGATTTTGTAATTGTGGCTGGACTAGAGCTGTATTATGACAAATTATTCAGAACACAAGAAGTTTTTTTTTTTTAAATATCAGTTATAAAATACAGCTACACTCTTCTACTGGAAGCATTGGTACTATAAGCAAACATTTTTAGTGTCCATTAAGAAAATCTCCATTGAAGTTATAACATTTTTTTTTCAAAACTTAATTTCTGCCCTTGTTTAACTATAGTTCATAGTTTTTTTTTCTTTTAAACTTGTACCTAAAAATTAATCAATGCATGTGCTTCTTAATGGCTTGTTTACTTCTAACCTTAAGAATTCTAATTTTTCCTTTAAACTCCATGAGCAGTTGCTTATAACCAACTAAAATTTAAAATTTCTTCTAAATAGGGTATATTCCTCTATTCAATACCAAAATATTTTAACTTTATATCTTACCCATTATACTGTAAAGCCTGGACCTCAGTAACCAAATTCTACTACTATTCATTGTGTGTTCTGTTCTACTTTTTAAAAAATTGATGGTAAAGTTATTAAGCAAATTTGCTCAAACCAGAACCTCTAACTTCCTGTGCCTCCTTGCATTTATCATTAATCAAGAGTTGAAACCTATGATACTTAATTGTGGCAAGACATATCTGTTTTGTGGAGGTTTATTATAGACTTTATGAATTCAAAATATGTGGACACATTGTTGTTATAGTTGTGGAAGTTTTAGTTTGCCAAGACCACCACTCCACACAACATTTGTAGCAACATTTATGGAGATTTATATATATGTCTTGTTGCATTCTTAGAGAAAAAACCTGAGCTACATTAGGCCTTCATTTTTTTCTTCTACCATATAATATATACCATGAGTCTTAAACCATTTTTCTTTCTTCGCAATTACTTAACTTTATTACTTACTTCTTATTCTCTCACATAAAGCTAATCATTTAAAGGCTGACTACTGTTTCAGTTAAATTTTAAGAATGAAATTCATAATGTTTTTATTTACCTCATTTCAGCTTCATTCACTATCACAGTGATGAAAAATTACCTTATTTTAGCTTAGTTCCTGCCCTAAAGAACTCAGTTTCACTTACTCTATTCATAAATGTATTGTCCATTGAATTCAAAAACTTTTATATCTTACAAGAGAAATTTTTTAGGAAGTAATTCTCAAAACGTTAAATCTAAAATACAAAAAAAATTCTTAAATTCAAAATAAATATACACAAAGAGAAAATAAATATAAATTAGAATATTGAAAAATAAACTGAAAATTAATACTCTGAGAAACGGATTATGCTTTGTTAGTTTAAAAATTATAAAAAGTAAGAGTTAAGTGTCATTACTTAGTACTAAACAGTCTAGGAAGAAAATCTAACAAGTTCTTTAAAGTTTCAAATAACACTAAAAAAATACGTATCTGTTTGATTGCTAAAAAGTTTCTCACAGGAATATTGGTTATCATTAACAAATCTGCTAAAATTTAAAAAAAAGTTGCTAAAATAAGTCACTTCATTAGGTAAATTACCCTGTAAAGTATGTATGATGGAAAATAAACTTTGATAAACATAAGTTTCTAGCTAAATTTTAAAAGATTTTGAATATTGATAATTAATTTTACTACTTATCATTTTAAAACTTAACACAGAGTTCAGGTGAATTTTTCCAGTACTATAATATTTTAAACACCTAATTTTAATCAACGCTTGTTTATTTTTGTCACAAAAAACAACAAAAATGGGTGCTTCATTGCATAAATAGTTTCAGAAATTGGGAAATAATGCTAGTATTTATCCTTTACTCTATTTCTAGATGGTTGATACCATTTTTAGAATAGAATGTAAGTGAATAAAATATTAATCTCACTGGGCTTCTGTAACTGTAGTTATGGTGATTTGTAGCTGTGTGCTTGCAAGTCATAAACTTGAAAACAATTTAACTTATTTTAATTTCTGTTGTATGTTGCATGTTGTAATCTGATGTTTTGATTTACATACATCACTGACTGATGTTACATTAGAAATAAGCTACTACAAAGTTAGTTAGATGTTGGGATTTTTTGAAAAACCCACTTCCATTGGAGAAGTTGACAGTTTAAATTTATAATCTAGATAATAACTCATTATCAGCAATATTTGAAGTGGAAAGTTAATTATACTGTCTCTCTTATGATAACAAAAATCTATTAGCTAGTTTCATTCAGGTTTTATAATATCATTAAACTTGAATTCAATCCATCTTAAATTCACTACTTAAAAACTGTGTGAATTTTATTTTAGTTTATACTGGTGTCTGTAAATGATAAAACACGTTAACCAATACCCATTTGGACAATTTTCTAAAAAATATATTTAAGCAGTATTCATGAAGATCTCAAATTATGTTGGTTATTGAAACTTGGAGCTTTTTTGGTAGAAACTAGACTCGTATGTAGATGAAACAAAGAAATAAGATCAAAACTTGAATGTTTGTTCACCAGTCATTATCCTTGTTTCATCATAAATTCAAATTAAGAATTTACAACTAATAATATAATGCTTGAATTAGATAAAAACTGAATAATTTTTGGCTAACATCCTATTTAGAACTGGGTAATTACTGGAATTTGATAATCAATGAATCTTCAGGCTTAGTAATAGATTATTTTCCTATGAGACTTGGATAGTTGGAATAAATGATAATAGTAATAACTAGAAACACTGCAATTATTTTATTATTTTTGTGAATTGTGACACTAATCTGTTAATTTGAACAACTTGAATTAATAAAAAATAATAATGAGAAATCATAATGGCAATATTTTGATTACTTGGATACTTGGAATAATTTGAAACAGTAGTAATCAGAAATACTGATTTTCATAAGTTGATTATTTTTGTGACATTAATGGAGTTAATCACAATTTTGATTACTTGATAACTTCACCTGATACTAATCAATGTAACTGATGCTTATAGGTAATTGAGTTAATCTCCCAGCTCTAATTCTGTTTCAATTCAACACTGAGTGTATCTTATTAAAATCATTAAATGAAACTGTCTGCACCTGCTAAGTGACTAGTTCCTGGTAAACATTCTGTTATAATCTAACACTGAGTGTATCTTATTATAATCACCTTTGTTAATGTAATTTTCACTTTATTCTAATAGAACAACTATGCCATCAACTGGACATTATATAATTTGATCTTAACGTATAAAAACTTGAATAAGATTTTACCCATTCACTTTTCACATTGTTAAATTTCATGTATTAAAATAAATTTTTAAAGAAATGTGGTCATCCAGATTCAAAACTGAGCATATACTGTAATACCTGTACCATAGTAAAAGTACAGAATTAGACTTATTGCAGTTCCTTGAATATTAAATATAATGTTGCATCATTAATTTTTCTGACTTGGAGAGTACTTGCGGTATTCCACAATCCTCAATATACCACTTGGTGCCATGTATGAAAATTAACTTAATTGATGCTTTACTGTTTTTGTTTGTATCAAATTAAAGTGAAACCATACTGTGAACTTTATCATTAGTATTTTCTCTACTTTGAAAGTTAATGAAATGTTAGTTCAAGAAAAATATAGAAAAACAATACATTTAAATATTTACGGACAATTTTGTTGTTTTTTTTACAGGTGTAAGCAATTTATTTTGATAATAAAACACCATCAGCTTCATGATAATTTTTAATGGGAGAAAAATTCTTGTGAGATGAATTTTTTTTGCCATTAAAATATAATCCTTTTGTTGTTTTTTTTACTGTTTTGGCAGATCATATTCATGTTTTCTGTTAAACTGCTTTATAATCAAATCAAGCAATCCGTGAGATCCTTTGCTGGTTAATTTTGTTCCTTCTGATCTCTGTAGAGCAAAATCAGGAAGTACCAGACATGCCTGACATCGTTAGAAAGAGAAAATCTTCTGCTTTTAAATGAACTTTGTAGCTTAGAAGCATCCGTAAGTTAATTTTGAGTTTTTGGAACTGAGTTTTCAAATAAAATAATTACATTTGCAATGTTAGTGTAATAAATATATGCTATGCTAATGTGTTCTTTGGACTGTGTATGCAAGGAAGTGTAGAATGTTTGCTCAGTTAGAGTTGATTTATTGTTCTACAATAATATATGCTATACTAATGTGTTCTTTGGACTATTTAGATAAGGAAATATGAAGTTTTTGCTCAGTTAGAATAGATTTATTGCTTTACAATAACAGTATTCAAAATGCAGATGAAGGATCAGAGCCTTAGACATATCTGTTACACATACACAAAAGGGATGTGTTTCATTCATGAAATATTTGAACTGAACAATTATAATAGCTCAGAAGCCTACATCATGAATTTTCCTAATTCATAGGGTACTGTGTAGATTTTCACAACTAATTATTTTGTTTACTATACATATTTCTGTATATGTTATTACCTGTTTTTTTCTGTTTTAACTATAACAAAAGATTTAGTTATTTTATTGTTTTATATCCTTCTCTTAATTTATGGTTTGTTATTTATCATCTTTTCTCTGATTTTTGATTTTCAAAATTAATCTCTTACCTCGGCAAAAGCTGATAACTCTTGAAGCAGTTTTGATTTTTAAAAAATGTAATACTAAAATGAAATAACAAAAAGATGTTAAACTGAACTCAAAATCAGACTTGGTTTCAATGACTTAAGCTTATTTTATTTTTGATATTGTAAAATGATTGATTTTAAAGTGCAGCTAATATGGCCATTTGAAATCTATCTAGTGTCTTATTCTCTTTTTTTTCCACAGTATGTACTGAAATTGTCTTATCACTTGCCATATGGAATTAAAAATCTATGTGATGATTAAAAAGTGTTTGGTTTTTCATAATTTTCTGAAATCAGTTGGAATTTTTTCCAACTATAAAAATTGGACTCATATATCTTAGACTAAACTGAAATATTCAACCTTAATTATCTGAGGTATCATGTGGAACATCTAGTAGATGTTTCTTAAATCAAATAAAAACATGGCTTTCTTTATATATTTCTTTATGTATAGATATTAAACTGTTAATCAACAAAACATGATAAAACAATTAGATACTAATCTTTTTTCTTTTTTTTCATAGAACAAAGATCATGAACATAAGGGAGAACAATATTTGTCTAGAGTTGTGCTTGAAAGAGTTAGGCTTCTGGAACTGGAAAATACTGCTTTAATTACTGGCAATGAACAGCAACGCTTACAGTATGAACATTGTCTGGATGATGTTGCCAATCAAGTTGTTCAGGTGTTATTAGCTCAGAAGGTTTGTATGAAAATACCTAGGAATTTAAACCTTTTTGTACACGGAGATTGAGAATTCAAAAAAACAACTAATGGTCTACCTGGTGCCTTCTGAGAATAAAATCTTGCATGCTCAAATAAAATATTTTTTTGACTTGTTTTTTATCAAATATTTTTAACTCTACTTATCTGTAACATATAAGGTTTCATTTATTGCACTCATGATTTCTAAGTGCTAAATTATTTCTGTATGATAACTATAGTCTGATTTACAATTTTAACTGTAAGACCTTCAGTATATGAAGTATTTCATTTGTTGAAATATCTATGACTTGATATAGATATATTTTGCACAGTATATGCATTTCAAAAAGTAGTAGAAGTGTAAATAAATGTCATATGGAATCAAGTTGTCTTAGAGTGAAGTCCTCAGTAGCTAATTATTTTGCAATACTTATATGCTCAGAAAATATCAGCATAAATTATTCTCAGTAGCTGTATCTTTCACTTCAAAAAAAAAAGAAAAGTAAATTACATTGTTTGACCTTCAACCTGGACTAAGTGCTCTAAATCTGACTTACCCTTATGGAGTTTGGTTAATAATTAACTGCTAATATCTATATATATATAATAGTGAACAAAGAAATTAGAGAAAGAGGTTTTTTAATGAACACATTTTAGTAACTTATATTTATCAAAACTAAAGGGTTTACGAGAAGAATGTGGAAAGTTGCAACTAAAAGTCCAGGATCTTGAACAGCAGAACAAATCCTTGAGTGTCTTGATTAAGCATCACTTATTATGTCCTGCAGACTTCTCTTCTCAGGTAAAGCTTAACTAATTATTCAAGAAAGTGAATTGAATCACTAAACACATCTGAAATACTATTGTGCTAGAACAATCATGCAGATTCGTGTCTTTTTTTAACTTGTTTTATTAAACAGTAATTTATTTTTTCCATTAAAAATGTATTTATGGACAGCATTCAGATTTTTTAAATTTAGTGAGTGTGTGCGCATGTGTATAAACATATTTAGATGGGCATCTTAAAACATTTCATCATTCAGATCTTTTTTTATTTTTACATCATTCTACAACTAAATTTCTTCTGTGCCCACTTTATATTAGTGTATTATATAACTAACTTTAAGCAAAACATTCTGATTCTCAATAATATGATGGTACATCCATATTATTTTTTCAAACAGGGATTTTTTCTTTTCAATAAATATCTTTTGCACATTACATATTGTGTTTTTAGAAGTCACTTTTTTGTTAATTAAAAAAACTTAAATCACATTTTTGATGGCATATACTAGATGTTGGCAGGGGCCACAACACTCCCTTTACCCCCACCCCCAATAATATTCCATTTGTCAATGCAAATCTAATTTTATCCATCTTTTTGGAGAACTCTAAAAAAAAAAAATCATTTGTTGTTTTGATGAATTTTTAGGTAAAAAACGAAAATTCTGAGGCAAATTCTGCAAATGTCCAGCAAAAGGTGATAAAATTCCTAATTGGATCATGCATTGGTGACAGTTATGATAGTTTTAGAACCATATATTCACCTACACCTTTTCCATTTAGAAATATCTGGAAATGCCAGTTATCTTTGTATTCAAATTCTGCTAGTTAACACTATGTATACAGGAGGGTCATAATAGCATATTACAACCTTTTACAGAGTTACATTAAAAAATTTTATTATGTACTTATGTCAGTAACTTTGGCATCAAAATGTAGTTTATATTTAAATTTTAATATTATATAAGTTTTAATTTCTTAATTTCAAAAGGAAACATTTTAAAAAAGTGCTCATAACTCATTCTTGTGTGGCACATGCATATCTGCAGTCTGAAATAGCCATTATACAAGTTTTTCTACCCCTCAAATTATCTTCTGAATTTAAAATAACCTATAAGTTTGTAGTATTGAAATTTCTAAGACATGATACATTTTATAGCCTCCAACCTTTCTTTATTTATGGAGATATCATGTACAAAACCAAGAAGATGATAGGGATTCTCCAGAGCAAAAACCTAATTGTCATTGATGCAATAACTATCCTGCAATCAAGCATGAATAGTTTTAAACATGTCAACAATGACACTGATGCAATGAAACAGAAATTCAAGCTGATCGGATGTTTACTGAGCATCTTAGCAAAGGCGTCGGTGATTTTTGTTGATGTAACTGCCACAGAAGGTCCCCAAGCAGAATTGATAAAAATCCAAATACTACAAAAAGCTTTAGAATAGAATCCTTCTATCATAAAGAATTAAAATCCACAAATTAACATTCTCACAGATGTTTACAAACACTGTATTGCAATCATCAAGCCTCTAATTGATGCCCTGCATCCTGACAAAGATTCACCTTCACTTCAAACTTTTAAAGCTCTCGTAGAATTTCATCTTGAGGATGAAAGACTGGACCCCAATGCTCTCATCTCAGAAACAGAGACCTTCAAGTCACACTTGGCAATTACCAACAAAGATGTTAAAGATATTTGAAATGATAACTGAGAAGCAAAAACCTGTCTTTACTGTCACTAACAGGACTTTTCACCTAGCTGTAACTGCACTGGTAACTGTGGCCAAAGACAAAAAAACATTCATTAAATTGAAGCTTGTGAAAAACTTGCAGATCAAAAATGAATGAACAAAGATTACAGGAACTTTTATTGATGGATTGTGAAAATGACATCACAGATGAAATATGCTTAGATCAGCTAGCTACAATGTGAGCTGATTTAAAACTAAGGTGCATTGCCATATTTCACCAAACTAATAAACATGTACATATATGATATAGGTCCTTTATTTAGGCCTTTAGGATTTGTGCTATAAAATTTGTATATAAAGTAGATGTGATTGAAGTTAGCTTATCAACATTTGATTGTAATCTGTAAATATAGCAAAAATAGAAACACAATGCATTTGGACCACTGTCCACACCTTGGCATTGCCCCACTTGATAGCAAAATACAGTCATGCTCCCTCCCTCCCCAAAATATAGGGACTTTGCTTTACCCCTGGGTGTTAGTTATGAATAAAGAGCAATTGTTGTATCTTTTATTTTTTTATGTCTTAGTGAATGTGTAGTTACAATGATAATACCTTTCAGTATTTTGATGGCATATGATTTGTAACTAAGTTTAAACTTAATTTTAACTTTAGTCTTAATGTAATGAATCCAATACTAGTAAAATATTTATGAAATCTGTAGATCAACATCACCCCACAGCTCTATGGTAGAGAAGCTTTGAAAAGAGTTTGGTGCTCTTCATCTATTTTTCCTGATACAGACACTGTGGATATGATTTTATCAGAGAAAATACAGGTTAATTCACTATTTCAAAACATGATCTTTGTATTTTACAATATTCTTACAATTTTTCTTTAGCATAATATATTTTAATATAACCCCTCAAGTACCAAAATATCATTAATTATGTTTGATATATTGTTATATATTAATATCCATATTATGAGTCATCAGTAAGTCTGAAGAACAAGTACATTACATTGTTGAGCAAAGGGTTAATTAACATGAATAAAAACAAGTCATTTTTTCATTGCACAGAATATCTTTGGGTATATGCAGCCTAACACCATTAACAAATGTATTACTTAGCTCATGTGATAGGTAAGAATTACTTTTTTGGATGTTTTGTAATATAAACTGTCTTTGTTCTTATTTAATAGTGAAAAATTATGCCCAAACTCAATGATTTTTTTTTACTGCAGTGCCATCTTAGATTTGTATAATTAGCAATAGATTAAAATGGAAGTACCTTGATATTTGAGGAAAAACATTTTCATAATAGTATACTTTTTTAATAGATTTTTATGTTCATTTGACTTAACAAGAAACTTAAATAAAACATATCTTTATACTCTGTTAGTTACTTTTTGAGCATGTAAGTTATAACAAAGTTACAAGAAGGTATTCTTTTTTACATTAATTCCTAATTTCATTGAGCTTTTTAACTTATACTATGAAAATTAACAATACAATTATAAGTATTAATGTTACTTTTTCCACAACATAAAATGTTTCGAGCAGAAAGAGAAGAATATAACTTGATGATAGTTTAGCAACAGTTAACAGTGAAAAATTCTTTCCCCTCAGAGGCCTGGTGGTGACTCTCCAACGCATACTAGTCATTCTGAAGACAGTACAGATTCCTTGTCTAGTTTTTGCAGTGATTATTCAGTCAATAGTGGAAGTAGTGGAAGGAATGTATGTATTAAAAACTAAATATTCTATGTCATAAAAGTGGGAAAGGGAGAGTATATCATGATGGGCAATCCCTTAAAGTAAGAATTTAGAAACTATTGTTACGTCTTCGTTTGTTAATTAATTTTCCGTAACTTCGTTCCGACGAAACTTTAGCGACACAAGTCCTTACTTAATAAAACTGGTTTATTCTTTCCGAATATAACTTTACGATACACTTAATTTCAACAATCACGCTAAAATAAACGCTATAACAACGAACGTGCTCAATAATACTCTCTGACTGCAGATCAACTACTCACTGTCTACACACACACACATTATCACGTCACGCCGTGACCATCTTATATATACCAGACCACCACCCCAATCTAGTAAATGCTAGAGCACTCCCGAAGGAACGGGATAGTTCTAGAAACGTGGCGTGACACTAGTCATGTGACCTTGCTGACGCAACACTGCCCCTTCCTTAGTATTGTTCGTCCCGAACAATAACCACATACAATAAACCAATAACAATTAACAATAACTTGATTAAATGTACAGAATTACAAACACAAAATTACAATTCAACAAAGTCTCTCAATTTTATGGGACATATCTTCTTCCGTACTGGTCTCCGTCTCGTTGGTTTCTGCTTCATGTGGGGTTCATCTGCTTCATCAGTAAATGTCCTATCATCGGTAACAGTCACATCAGCGGTAGTAACTTCATCAAGGGCTTCATCGTTTCCCTTCTCAAAACTGAGTAGAGTTTCTTCTTCAACGGTGGCTTCTTCAGGTGGCACATCTTCAGCAGCATCATTTGTTCTGTTGTCCACTTCATCCCAACTGAAATGTCCTGGACCGTGATAACACCAAAGTCTGTTGGCATGCGCCACTTTTGGTTTACCTAGCCGACCACATTTTACCCGGAAAGTCACGTCTGAGAGACGATCCACTATGTCATATGGGCCTTCCCATGGAGAAGACAACTTAGGAGACTTCCCTTTGATCTTCCTGGGATTATACAACCATACCTTGTCTCCTGGTACAAAGCTGACCTCAGT